CTGTTTATTTTCCTTTGTTCCCCTTATTGTTTTGTGAACTTCCTGACGCCCAAATTCAACTCACTGTAGACTTATTTGTGTGATATAACAACAGAGCAATGAATGTAAACATATGAAGGATGTGGGCTGCAACTTATGCAGTACACAAAGTACAGTGATTGAAAGCAGACAGTTATGTAACATACTGGGTGGATGCAGTAGAGACTTGTCCGGATTCCAAGGACCTCACAATGCCTCAGGCTTGCCAATTAGCGGGAACATTGTGTATATATTTTCCTCCTTTCCTTGTAAAATCTGTGTTCAAATGTTGCAGAGTTTTTGAGGAGGACAGAGGCTTGAAAGCGTTCCTGTTGTATTCCCTTGTTCCCCACCTAAACAGGCTAAGTAAACAACCTGAATCATATTAAATACAGTACGGTTGCAAATTTTTACTCATTTGGAATTCCTTTTAGATTTAGATTTGTTTGTAGTTTTTTTCTGTCCTTGTTGAGATGGATCTCACCAGAGAAGAATCTTTTGGCTAATTAAATTATCGAGCCAAATTTAAGAGATATGAACTGTACATACTTTTCTCAGATCTGCAGATTTTCCCTCCCAGTTTCATGTCTTCCTCTTCCTGTCAACTACTCAGCTTCACCTTACCTGGTTGTGTTTGTAATTAAACCTGATTGAAGCCTTCTTCTTAGCCAACTGTTTGCACTCTTTGCAGTCTTCCCCAGCAAAACCATTCCAGATGTTCAGATTGTATGCTCGAATGAGATAATGGTAGTCCAACATGTTGGGGAATGCTGTCCTGATTCTTTTCCAGCTCCTAGGTTAGTTTGTCCCTTTATGAGAAAAGTTTGCCAACAACAGGCTGAAACTGTTAATAAGAAAGTCACTGTCAAAGAGCAAGCAGATCCTTCAGTAAAGTCTTCGGTAACAAGATGGTATCTGGGATAGATTAATCCTAAATATTAATCCTCCTAGGTATCCCCTGCATTGCTTGGAAATGCTTTTTGAGAAGGTCCTTACAGTCCATTGCAAAATGCAGTCTTCACAGAGACATTTTATAATGGCCATGCTGAATAGGATTAAGTGAGCCCATTACAAAAAAGCACATATAACAGCATTTTCAGTGAGCAGTATGATACCACAGGGTTGTCTGTGTTAAGCATCTCTTAAAAATGCTTTAAACATTTTTCTGGACACTTACATAAAGTACCAAAATACATTGCTTTTTCAGTTTGGATATATTGATATCATAGCTTATATAATTATGTATACCTGTCGTGATAACTTTGAAGAAAAAAAAATGAGTATCACTAATCACCATTGAAAAACAGTGATAGGAAACCCCTTATCAGAAACATTGCAGTAATGTAAAACTGTGATTATCTTTCCATGATTAATCCTGTTAGATACAACATATGGGGAAGTGTACTACTTTTGTCTAATAAGAATAATTAAAAAATAAAATACATGACAGAAGAATTGACATCACTGCAAACGATCTCATGAACGTCCATGTAGTTCTATTTGACACTGAAATGATACATCTTAAAGATTGAAGAATACTACTAAGGATTCTGGTACAGTCGCAAGACAGTGGGATATGGACAGAGCAAAATGCAGTGCCACATGGAAAGTTGTAGCATGAAAAGCTTATTTGTTAAATTTATTTGCTGCCTATCTAAGGCTGGAGCAGCTTACAACAATAAAAAGGAAGAAATGAAAAAGAGTGTAAACTGAACTAAAACAATAAGAGCAATAAAACACAAGCCACGAAAAAGAACACAACAATACATCAATATGATAACAAAAAGATGGACAGGTAAAAAGCAGTGAGGAGTCTGCCCTCAATCCAGCAGCCACCTCCAGTGGGTTACCCCAACATTGAATTCCAACCAGCAAAGTTGGGTTTTCAAGCTTTTGTGGCAGGATAGGAAGGTAGGGGCAAATCTTACCTTGGAGGGTAAGGTGTTCAAAAAGGCAGATGCTGCAGCAGAGAAGGCTCTTCTTCTATATCCCAGTTGTCAGAATTATTTGACCAATGAAATCCAAAGAAGGCCCTCTCTGCTGGCATGAGTTATAATTCTACTTATGGCTAACGGTGGAAGAAGGGTGATTTATTTGAGCTTGGAGCTGTCTACCAGAAGCACCTTCAATATTTGTGTTTGAAAAATGTTCTGCGCCTTGCCTTTCATGTGATCAGGTGAACACTGCTGGCACCAAATTGATTAGGTAAACAGGGCATATTTCAAAACAGAATATGAACAGCAAGTGTCAATAGAGTATGAATTTAATCCAGGCGGAGCCCAGGTAAAAATGTTTTGCTTGCCCTGATAAAATGCGGGACTGAAGAAAGGTTGTATTCAGTGTTGCTCTTCACACAGGTGCTTTGTGGAGATGGGACAGGTAGAATTTGGCAGTAGGTTAATTTGTATTAAACCATCCAATGCCAAAGGAATTGTTTAAATAACATAGAGGCGAGTCCTTTGATGCAACCATTTCTTGTTTATGAAGAAAAGGGCTGGCTAGATCACAGCCAAATGTCCAACTAAAAATTCACAAGCTGGACAAGATTTCAGTAACCTTCACCACATGTTCTTTTGCAAGTGGTGTTATCCACCGTCTCCTATCCAGAGGTAATATAGACAGTACAGTAGTATTGAATAATAGCCATTGATGTTCTTATTCTCCGTGAATTTGGTAGAAAGCTTTCACTATGGTAATACATTTGATAGCAGATATCAGGTATGTTTCTCTGAAGCCACACTGAAAAGTTGTTATGCAATTTAAACCGCACCCTTCAACTCTACCAAGGATTCCGTGGAAATGTCTCCTTCCAATGTCTTTACCATGAGTAATTAGAAGGATCCAAAAGAGGGGAGGGGGGAAAGTGGTGAAAAAATGACGATCTGTTGCGAGTCTCTCAACACATAGCAGTTATTACTCTGTTTCAGTTGTTATGAAGAAGGTTGAATCTAGTTTCTTGTTTTGCATTTTGTATTTTTACTGTTTTAAAAATAATGCACCTTGAGATAGTATGTCAATTACATAAGACATAACTAATATGAGCCCTAGGTTTATTTCTTACTGGAAACAAACAGGTTATTTTGAAATGAAGCTTATTAAGATATTTAAATTTAGTATTTGGAGCAGTGGGATTGTGCAATAAGCCAGAACACAACAGTTATGGTTGATTGGTTGACTACTGGCTCCTGCATGAGACAATCTGTGCTGTGATTGGCTACTGTGGGTGTGGCGCGGGAGAGAGTTTCCCTTTTTTCTTCTGTGTGTCCTGTATGCTCTGTGATTTACCTCGGGTGTCAAGCTAGTGGCCTGTGGGCTGGATGCGTCACATGCAGGCCACGCCCACCCCAGGGGGGGAACCATCGTGAAACATCACGTGATGCCAATGTAACACTGTGAGTTTGACGCCCATGATTTACCTGGTTTGCCTGACAATTTTGTTCGGTGCATATTTAGATGCAAAATATATTTATATAAAACTACAAGTTTGGGTCTCTGACTTCATTTGGACACCAGCTGCGCAATTCCCTGACAAAACCTCTTTCAGGAGGATGCATTTTAGACTGGAGAAATAGTATAAGAGAAAAAACAGTACTGACCTGAGACATCATGTTGCATGATGCCCATTTATAAAACATTACATAACAAAAGACAACTGGACTGACTGACCATTGAATCTTCTGAGAACTTGACAATCAACCAACAGGTTGTACTGATTCCAAGGAAGGGAGGCCACCTAAGGCCTCCCAACATTTGTAACCTAAGTTGACCGTCTCACTCTGCCTGAGCCTAAAGATAGGGCAAATCTCATACTTAAGTTTTCCCTCCTTGTCATTTACTTGAAATCTGCACTGCATCCGTTTCTTTACCTGGAGACAGATGTTGTCTTCCATTACGAACTTCTCACACAAAACTGGGAAAAAATGAACTTAAGAGCAATGGAGATAGGATAGATTATAAATGAAATAGGATAGATTATAAAAAGAAGAGAGTAGTGAGGTAACTTTTAAGAAGGAGCTAAATCTACAGTTGTACTTATAACAGCTGTAACGAAGATCAGAAGTCACTTGTTTCTTTTTTTTTTCTTTTTTCTTTTACTTTTCTTCTGCTTTCTTTTCTTTTTGCACTATAGCTTTCTCTTTTATTTCTTCCTTTCTCTGTAGAGAATAGTGTTCATTTGCTTGATTTTTTTTCCTCCTGCTATTTCTCTTTCACAAGCTTTTCACCATTAGAATTTAGCTTCCTGTCATACTTGCTGTTTATTTTATTTATTTTATTTATATGTCAGGCCATCTCAAATAAGTGACTCTGGAACCAGTAGTTATCAAATGTAGAGTTCCAGATTTTCTCTTTCATCATCATTCAGTTCTTAAGTAACAGAGGTTTACTGCAATTGATACTTCCCTGCAGGCAATCTAGTGAAAACTGCTTGTAGAAATCTTTTTATTTATTTTTATAGCCCAGTTATAGGAAAATAGCCCAATAGCGCTATCCTTTTTGCCTGGTTGGGAACTATTGTGTTATGCTCTGAAGAATATGGCAATAAAAATTATTGGGCATTCTTTCTGATCTGCAATTGCCCAGTTTCAATAAAAATTCATACTTTTGCACTTTCATTTGTAGGAGTTGCATTCAATTCTAAATTATTGGGAGGAATGTTCAAAAGTAAATATACTTCCTATTTGGTTTACTTTTGCTGATAACAAATGTAGCTGCTTTTGCAAACAAGCTTCCACAGTGAACATAATGTATCAGTGCAGTAGGAAGACAACCTTATTTGTGCTATCAAAAAGTATCACTTACAGGTTTTAGAAGTACAGATCTAGCAGCTGGAATTTAAAAGGGTAATTTTAAAGTACTTGCCTCCTCAAATTAGTTCTGGAGATTACATATTGATTATCTCATTTGTATACATATCATATTTTGTGTATATCATAGAAGTTCCTTCTACTATCACATGTTCTAAAAGAGCCTATAATAACTTTGGTGTATATACATAATTATGTATGTAAGTATGTCACAGGTTTTTACAGCTTTTCAGTACGGACCTACTGAAGGGCTTTCCTTCTGCATAAAGCATGAAATTACATTTGTATATTTATACATGTGGATGTGTGAGAGCTACGATTTCTGTTCCTAAGCCATAGTTCATTGTTGCATCTAGATCAGGGGTCTTCAAACTTGACAGCTTTAAGACTTGGGGTTTCAACTCCCAGAATTCCTCCACCAATCATGTTAGGAATTCTGGGAGTTGAAGTCCACAAGTCTTAAACTTGCCAAGTTTGAAGACCCTTGATCTAGATGACAGACTTTGTAGCACATTGCAGTGTGAAAGTACATGGCTTTCATGGCCAAAGATGTCAGATTAACTCTTTGGCATTTGTGTTTAAAAGCTGTACGTGACTGGTGAAGAGAAAGATGTTGTGTTGCACTGAAGTTGGCAAGTCACTATCAGTTGGCAAGTTGGGAAACAACCTGATAAGTCTGAGATGGCTACCTGTCTTCTCATGTGTATATGGATATCTCTTTCTTCATCATAGCCAAGGCACTTTTGAAGGAAACATACTTTCTATGAAAGCAATTCTGAGAACATTATCTGAACATAACAGAAGCATTGCCTCTTTGAGCAATTCTTCTAGCTTCTTGATGGGCATTTCCTAGTCTCCATAAGCCAAATGCCCATCACAGTTGAGACATACTTCTTTTTTATCTTAGTGATTTATTATATTGGTGCAAAAAAGAAGCCTGAAACATCTTTAGGGTTTTTAATAACTGGTGGGTAACCAGTTCAGCTACTGAAAAAGAATTGTGTTATTGTACTTGGGGTGAAGAGGAATTTCCAAAGATTCTTCAGAATTAGCTCTTAATGCACTAGTATTAAGTTTAGATGTCACATTGGTTTGTAAATATTGGCTGTAGTTGTGTAAGTTTCTTGGCCCATCCTGATGCTATGCTTTTCAACAGAGATATAATTGAATGGTGGAAATTAGCTCATTTATAGTAATTTGCTTCATAAGTAACATAAATTAATTGTCCGTACTAAAGAGCATTGCACCCCTGTTCAGCCACTGGTTCTTATTTACCCATCTTTAGAAGAAAATAACCCATATCTTGTGTCTATCATTCTACTTACTTAAAAAAAAAACCTATGAATGCTGAACAAAGCAGGATATATGCATTTCACTTGAAAATATTAGCAAGAATTCAGAACTTGTTCAAAATAAGTATGTTTAAAACACAGGTAGTCCTTGACTTACAATCACAATTGAGCCCAACATTTCTGTTGTTAAGTGAGATATTTGTTGTGAGTTTTGCCCCATTTACAACTTTTCTTTTCTCAAGTATTAAGTGAATCACTGCAGTTGATTAGTTAGTAACTTGGTTGTTAAGTAAATCTGGCTTCCCCATTAACTTGCTTGCCAGAAGGTCACAAAAAGTGATCACATGACCTTGGGACACAGCAGCGATCATAAATATGAATCAGTTGCCCAGCATCTGAATTTTGATCATGTAATTGTGGGGATGCTGCAAACGTAACTATGAAAAACGGTCATAACACACTTTTTTCAGTGCTGTTGTAACTTTGAGTGGTCACCAAATAAACTGTTGAAAGTTTAGGACTACCTGTAATAGAATTGTCACTGGTAATTTCTTGTTCTCTTGGCATAGTATGGTTAACACATTTAACAGTATAGCATTCACTTAGTCTTTCCTTTAGTGATGTTGTCTTGATTTGTAGGCAGGTAGGTTAGCCAGCTATGGTGACTAATAAAATAAAGTTAATGAACTGTTTTTTATGCTTCACATAAATGACGTTTATTGGATATTGCCTTCAGAAGGATGCCATATGACTCTCTTATCTGCAAAGCTGAGTCAGCAAAGGGTAGCCAGAAAAAGTCTCAAATGTAATCTTGCCTTACAGTTTAAAGATATGATCTTTGGTCACGAACCCTCAGGCTTCCTAGCACATCTGCTTCCATCATTAGATCAGGGAGAAAGCATGATGTGTTGCCCTGACTCTTTGTAGTGTCATCTCATGGGCTTGACAATAGTTAACGAGTCTATATTAGGCAGAAGAATTGAAAATCGCTCCAGATATATTTTTCACCTCATGATTTTTCCTACGTGGCTTTCATTAACTGTGAAAAAAATAATAACTTGATGATCAAATAAAATGGACTTAGCTACGTTGATTTTGATTCATGTTCCTTTCTTTTCAAGAAATTATTTCATAATATTATCGATGGGTATTAAAGGTGTATGTTTAAATTTTGTGCAAAATATGTGAGACTGGCCAGCATTTCTTGATTTGCTGTATATATACTTAGGTCTGTCTCAGAGATTTGGGATAGATGCCAATTGCTTTGCTGGAAACAATGGGGAAATCATTATTCCCAGAAAGTCATAATTCATGTATATGTTCTGTCATCATGGTAGTTTCAGTATAAATCTGTAATTTTAAAAAAAGGTTCTGTTACTCATCTTAAAGAATTGAATAATACACTTGAACATCTAAACACATTCTAGTGCATATGCACGATTGTTTGGAACCAATTGCTTAATTCTCAGTAAAACTGTGTCTTTAAATATGTCACTTACCATTTAAGTCAAAGACTTCAAACTTGGCAAGTTTAAGACTTGTGGACTTCAACTCCCAAAATTCCTAAGCTAACATGACTGGGGAAGGAATCCGGGGAGTTGAAGTCCACAAGTCTTAAAGCTGTCAAGTTTGAAGACCCCTGATTTAAGTGAACTTTTGAACCACTTTTTCTTAATGTCCTTCAGAAATTATACCTAACTTTTAACCTCTTTTTATACAGTGCTCACGTGTCACAAGTCAACAACATCCCTGCTACTGGAGAGTAAGTAATTCTTTCTCTTTTGTCACTCTGTTCTTTAGTTCTTGTTTTTCCTCATTAAATATCTTGTGATTTGTGTGTGTGTGTGTGGCAAATGTACCACATCTTTGATAGCACTAGTGGTAGACATAATAGAAGATAAGATTGTTATTGTCTAGTTTGAATGGTTTCAGTGGAAACCTTTTTGTATACAGCCACCTAATGAAAAAAAAGGCATCTTGGGTGTCTGTTAAGGAATGCCCAAGCTGATTCCTAAATAGAGTACTGCAATGATCTTCCTAAAAAATGCTAGATGATGTGGATGTTCTAATTGAATGCAATAATCTGCCTATAGGATAATATGTACAGGCAGTCCTTATAACCATGTAATTAATGACAATTCAAAGTTACAAAAGCACTGGTAAAAGTGACTTATGATCATTTTTCATACTCACAACTATCACAATATCCCCATGGTCATGTGATCAGAATGTGGATGCTTGGCAACTGGCATGTATATATGACAGTTGCAGGGTCCTAGGATCATGTGGTCACTTTTGGGGTCCATCTGACAAGCAGAGTCAATGGGGAATCCAGGTTCACTTGACAACTGCATTACTAATTTAACAACAGCAGTGTTTCACTTAATAGTTGTGGTAAGAAAGGTCTAACAACTGTTTTGCTTAGGAAATTTTGGGCTAAATTGTAATCTGAGGCCTACCTGTAGCCAGTCTTGACAGTTGCTTGACTTCTTAAGGAAGAGTATATTTTAAGATGACTTTGGACCAATTTGACCCGATCTTGTTTCAAGCCAATTAACTTATCTTATTTTATATTTATTGTACGCTCAAGATTTCTTCCACACAGGTAAGATCCAGTCTCAGGTTGCTTAGATTCAGAAAAGGCTGCATGTCAGTCTTTAGACTCTTTTCAACTGCATCTCTCAAAAGAAACAACCCCCCTTCTCTCTCTCTCCCAAAAGACCGAAAAAATATTCTTTTTTTACCCCTGGACTTTTTTCCCCTTTAAGTACTCAAAAACTCAAGGAACCCCTTTTATCCTTAGAAACAAAAACAGAGACACTGTGCCCATCCCACAAAAGAACGCTTCCCCTCTTTTCCACTTGTTGGTCTGCCACAGTATTTTTTTTTTAAAGAAAATGCTACATGATTTTTCTTTTTATCAGTAGAGGGAGCTATATATTTAAAACACACAGTAGGTAAAGAAGGAAAAGATAGATTATTTTGATGAAGGCAGAAAATCATGCGTTTACAGTAGCAACTATCAATATAGCATTAATAAAGAAAATAAGTGAGCTACAGAAATTTTCTCTAAAAGCACTGAAAATGAGAATGATTCCGTGAATTGAAGATGGGTTCAAAAGAACTAGATTTTGCTCTCCACTTAGCCATACATTTCTCTGGATGAACTTGAGGCAGTGTCTCTTTTTCCAACTAACCCTACACCAATAAACATGGACTCTTGTGCCTCACAGAAAAAATGACTACAAATATGTTAATTAATCAAGTCTTCAAAAGAGATCCATATCATGGATCTCATACAAATACAACTCACCACTGTTCACTCAAAGAAAGAGAAAGAGGACAGATCTAATAAAAAAAATAGGTGAGGGGAAGGTAGTATCTCAGTTGGCTGAAAAACATACTTTATTGTGTGAATTCTTTTATCAAGGACACAGCAAAATGAAAGGCATTATAAGCAGCATCCAATTGGGAACATATCTCTATGGAACATGTCTCATATCTCTAGATATTTTTTGTCTGTTACGTTTTTCTTTATTATGGGCTTTTTTCTGTCCTCTTTTCTTCACCTATTTTTTTTTAATCAAACATATTTATCCTACCTGTGTTTTAATCAATCTGAATAGAAAATGCTAGCAAATGTATTTGGATAAATAACCTTCTGCATCTCTTAACATTAAGTTAAGAGATACAAAAATGTTTTTATGGGACAAATGACTTAATAAATCTAACCAAGCAAAATAATAAATCGACCACGAAAAAAGAAATGCTGCTGTTTTATGGAATCCTTTCATTTAAGCTAGGACAACTAACTATTAAAGCAGAAGTCTACCTTTCCTTTCCGTTTTTATGCAGAAGCCTGAAAAAAAGGTGGTCTCTTTTAATGTATAAGTAGAACTTAATAGTAGAACTTAAGCCACTTTTGAAACACTTCTTGCAAATCATTTTTGAGATATACGCTTATAAATGAATGGTTCACATTGGGAACTCATTATCATTTTAAAAAAATATATATTAATACTTGTGTATATGTATGTGTGTAGGGGACGGGGTGGCTCATTGGCTAAGATGCTGAGCTTGTCGATCAGAAAGGTTGGCAGTTTAGCGGTTTGAATCCCTAGCACCGCATAACGGAGTGAGCTCCCATTACTTGTCCCAACTTCTACCAACTTAGCAGTTTGAAAGCACTGTAAAAATGCAAGTAGAAAAATGGGAAGGTAATAGCGCTCCATGTGCCTTCGGCATTTAGTCATGCCAGCCACATGACCACGGAAACGTCTTTGGACAGCGCTGGCTCCTTTTCTTTGTAACAGGGATGAGCACCACCCCCTAGAGCTGGAAACGACTAGCACATACGTGAGAGGGGAACCTTTACCTTTACCTTATATGTATGTATGTGTAACTTATGTTGTTTTGACAGATACTTAGAAAAGACTATCCGGACAGCTGTCGAACAACATCTTTTTGATGTTCATGGCTCTAGTGGTCAAAGTTCTGAAGAATCTGAATCTGGAACATCATTAACATCTTCCAGTGTATCCACTGGGCAGCGCAGGCGACATCATAAAGAACAAGATGAAGGCCGAAAGACCAGAGATAGGTATGCTTTTTTCTTCTCTTTTCTTCTTCTCCTCCTTCTCCTATGAGACAGTTTTAGAACTCTCTGATAGCAATTGTCAGATAATTGCAAAAAACTGGTTCACCCCTCTCAAGTTGCCAAGAGGCCTGATGCTTTCCAGAGCAAATATTCTACATCAGGGGTGTCAAACTCAAGGCCCAGAGGCTGGATCCAGTCTGTGGGTTGCTTAGTCCCCCGGGGCCGTCCTGGAAACAGCGAAGGCCTGCAGCGTCTCTGCCAGCAAAAACTGAGCTCAGGACAGCCACAGGCCTCCCTTCCGAGCTCCGTTTTCGCTGGCAGAAGGTTGTAGGAGGCCGTTGCAGCTGCAAATGGAGCTCTGGAGCCCATTTTCGCTGGGAGAACACTCAGGCCGCCATAGGCATCCACAACACAAGTGACGTCGAGCTGGCCACCGCCATCACAGCCTCCTGAGGTCAGAGATAACCTTGATGCGGCCCTCAGTGAAATTGAGTTTGACAACACCGTTCTGCATTTTCAAATTAATATCTCCATTGCCTTCCTATTCCTAGATAATTGTGGAGATGTTGGAATCATCACAGTTCTCCTCACTTTTTGAATTTTTATTGAAAAGATTTGGCAGAAAGGATGGAATGGAACGGAATTTTTTCCAAATATTCTGATTTCCCTGTCATGTTTGTTTAGCCCATGGGTGTCAAACTCGATCGCATCATGTGACATACCGTGATGTATCGCAATGTTTTTTGCCTTTGCAGAGCCAGGGTGAGTGTGGCTTGTGCGTGATACATCCGGCCCACAGGCCACCAGTTTAACGCCCCTGGTCTAGACCTACATAATCAGAAATGAATGTTGCTTAGAATGCCTTTCATTAGACTGGACTCATTTTTAAATCCTTGAAAGTAAACTGTATGGAAAATCCTGCATCCTGCCATGTATTGTCATTACTATATTTCCTCTTGGAAGTCATATTCTTCACTCTCATTTATATGTGACTATTATATATTATATATATGTTTTATATATATGATTATTATTAAGTATTGTACCTTATGATTCTTGACTCTTGACAAATGTATCTTTTCTTTTATGTACACTGAGAGCACCAAGACAAACTTCTTGTGTGTTCAATCACACTCAGCCAATAAAGAATTCTATTCTATTCTGTCAAATTTTTCCTATGGAATTCCAGGTAGTATCCCATCCAGCATTGTTCAATCTGCTTCACTTCGATTACATTGCTGCAGCATTTGCCTTTATGCTAGGCTAGATATGGGATAGGTAATTAACCTTCTAGGATATTCCTCTTTGTACCAACACCAGTTAACTTTAATGTTTATACTTTTTTTAACCAATAAATAAAAAGCTTACACATCATAGAATAAAGTGCCAGGCTCTAACCCAGTGGTGGGATTCAAATATTTTTGCCACCGGTTCAGTGGGCGTGGCTTGGTGGGTGCGCTTTGCGCGCATGCACATACTCTGTGTGCACGTGCCCGCAGGGGTGTTTGCGCAGGCACAGAGGCATTCTAACTCGCCTCTTGCAAGCCTGCACGATCCTGGTCGCTTCAGCAGCTGCTGCGCAGCGCTATTCTGTGCCGTGCAAAGCAGCTGCGCTTCAAATTCAGCAGATAAAAGTGAGTATGGGAGGCCGGGCAGGTGGGTGGGCCTAAAAGCAGAGTGGCGGAGAGAAGAGGTTTGGTCTCCGCTGCTCATCACTTCGACTGGCTCGCCAGAACTGGGCCGAACCGGTCGAATACCACCACTGCTCTAACCTCATATTAACTTTCGGTACATGCCAGTATTTCTCAGCCTTGGCAGTTTTAAGATTGAATGACTGCAACTCCCAGAATTCCCTAGCCACCAAGGCCTAATCTTAAAGCTGCCCAGTTGGAAAACATTGCCAACATTTTAAAAAATATTAGAATGTACTGAGATGAATAGATTAACACTTAAAATAATAGAAAGAAACAGAATACTTTTTAACATGGGACTTGTTTTACCAGTGGCTAACTAACAGTTACTACCCACCTGCCTTCTACTGAGGACCTGTATACTGCACAAGTCAAACAGAGGGTTGTGAAAATATTTACAGACCCCTCACATCCCGGACATAAACTGTTTCAACTCCTTCCCTCAAAACGTCTCTATAGAGCACTGCACACCAGAACAACTAGACACAAGGACAATTTTCTTCCCGAAAGCCATCACTCTGCTAAACAAATAATTCCCTCAACACTGTTCAACTATTTACAAAACCTGCACTACTATTACTGTTAATCTTCTCATCACTCCTTATCACCCATCCCCTCCCACTTGTGACTGTAGGACTGTAACTTTGCCGCTTGTATCCTTACGATTTATATTGACTGTTTTCTAGTATGATTTGATTGCTTATTGTACCCTATGACTATCATTAAGTGTTGTACATTATGATTCTTGATTCTTAATGAATGTATCTTTTCTTTATGTATACTGAGAGTATTTACACCAAGACAAATTCCTTGTGTGTCCGGTCACACTTGGCCAATAAAAGTATTCTATTCTATTCTATTCTATTCTATTCTATTCTATTCTAACAGAAACAGGGTAGAAACTATAAAGATTAGAAAGATGATAAAATGTTTGTATTGATGGATAAGCTAATTGTATTACTACCTTGTGATTAATATTGATACGTTTATTATGATTATTGTTATGATTATTGTTATATCTCTACTTAAAACTGTGGCCAGACAACACGCTGTTCATATAGATATGGAACTTTTGATGTTTAATTAAAAATGTATTAATAAAACATATATTTTAAAAAAGAAAGAAAACATTGCCACATGCCCATTATCAGGCGACTAGAAGACCTAGCAGAGAATAATCTTGACAGTTTGGTATTTGTGAACAAGCAAATTTCAGCTATAATAGGGATTTTGTGAAGGCTTATAGTAGATTTTCAAAATTCCAGATCTGTTCCTTGGACCCCTACAGATAGACTGTGCAGATTCTTTGAAGAAAATGCCAGGAGATGTAAGACTATAAGATAACTGAGGAAGTGTAGGGTGTAAATACCTTTCTAGAACTTGCAAAGTTAAAATAATTGCTTGGGTTGCCTTTATGAGTAACTATAAATGATCTGGAATTCAGCCATCTCTTTTTTCCTTCTTCCTATGTAGCGAGGTCATCAACAAAGAGAATATTCCTTCTGGCTTCGGTAGCGTTGAAGAGTGTATGTTAAATGCTCAGGAAGTGGAAAAATGCCATGAGAACCGTTCTGGCTATATTGGCGAAAGAAGTAAACCAAAACGGCAGAAATCCAGCACCAAACTGTCTGAGTTTAACGACAATCAAGAGAGTTCTTTGGTAAGCAAAATTATGAAAGCCAAGCTTTCAAATGGCACGTTGTAACTTGGGTGACTCTGTATGATCTGTGAATGCCCAACTCTCATAGCATCTCTGCATTTCAGGTGGTCTTGACGATTATTCTTGCTGAATGGTTCTGCAAGCCATTTGACTGTAGTATTAAAAATGTCTAAAGTTTGCAAGTGACAATTGCATTCAGTGGGCAAGTCAGGAGTAAGTTTAAATGCCCATTGTGTTATTCAGTAGCCCAGAATTGGCTGTCAAAAATCAGGAAAGTCATCAACCGTTCCTTCCGAGCAAACGATGAGTCTCTACAGTAAAGCACATTTATATATTTACTAGCTCGATACCCGTGCTTCACTATGAAACTATGTGATCAGAATTAGTTTTTGGGGAGGAAAATAAGGGGGAGAAAATTCTGCCTACCAGCATCCATCGGTATTCATCTAGCATCCTGTCAGTGTATGTGAGAGTTGAGGGCTGTTTGAAAACTGAAGCAGTATTTGCTGTGTGAGCAAGAAGGAGACAGCAAGGAGCCTGGGCGTGGCTTAGCTCAACTGTTCTGTACTAAAGCTGTTTGGTGCTCTGAAACTGAAAGTCCTCTCCTCTGCTTGTGTTTTGCATTTGGAACAGATTTCTTTTCAGGTGGGGAGGGGGAGTAGAACTCCTTAACATCAAAGCATGTTAATAATAATATACAAAATAATACTGCTCTGATGGTCATTTCGAAAAATCCTTTCTTAATGAGCACCTAGAAGCCAAGAGGAACATGTGTGCCAAATTTCAAGTTTGTAGGCCTTATGATTCTAGAGATTTTGTGATGATGCGTGAATTGCATTTCGCTTTTATATTTATAAATTTTTGAGGCAGTTGTATTCTGCTTCATTTGCAAGACTCTAGGGGCATATAACAGGCAAAAAAGAAAAGAAAATCATGACAAATATAAAACCCCTAGGCCTTTGGTTTAATAACTATAATCATAATAGTAAAACCAGTGGTCACCTGTGATCTTACTATAGGCAAAGATCCACTGAAATAAGATATTCAGGTTCAAAACAAAAGCATGGATGAGGCAAATATATTTTTGTGAACAGAAATTTTCAAAAGGTGAGAGTATTACAGAGTGTGCCACCTCTATCTCACAGCCTCTAAATCTCATATTGGAGTAGGATTCTCAACAGGCCCTCTCTAGATCGATATTTGCAATAGATGGGCAGAATGCAACTTGGCAAAGCAATCCTCAATGTATACCTTGGTGCCACCCATTATAAGGCTCTGTAGATGACAAGTAGCACTTTAAAGTGGGTCAGATGCTAACCATAGCAAGAATCACGATCAATTCATCATGGCACACTGCAACTAGTCCTAAATGTGAGCTGATTGGCAAGCACCTGAAATACCATCATGTGACCACGGAGGGGGGAGGCTGTTGTAACTTTGAGGACGGGTCATTAGTAGCTTTTTAAAAGTCTGCGGTAACTTTCAACAATTGGATGATCAGTCATAAATTGAGGACTACATGTACTGGAATGAACCAGTGAAAAGAATGTCAGTACAGGTAGTCCTTGACTTGCAACAGTTCGCTTAGTGGGTGTTCAAAGTTACCACAGCATTGAAAACAGTGACTTATTACCCTTTTTCACAGTTATGACATTTCCAGCATCCCCATGATCATGTGATCAAAGTTCAGATGCTTGGCAACTGGTTTATATTTATGACTGTTGCCGTGTCCCAAGGCCACACAATCTCCGTTTGTGACCTTCTGACAATTAACATCAGTGGGGAAGCCATATTCACTTAACAACCAGGTTGCTAACTTATCAACTGCAGTGATTCACTTAACAACTGAGACAAGAAAAGTCATAAAATGGGGCAAAATTCACTTAACAAATGTCTCACTTAACAATAGAAATGTTGGGCTCAATTGTGGTCATAAGTTGAGGAATACCTGTACATATCTCGTTGTTTGCTTTCAGCTTATTGCCATGTGAAACCAGCTGTTTTGGTTTTACATCATAGTTTTGTTCATTTACAGATACGTGCATGCGTGCATGCATACAATTATATAGCAATAGCACTTAGACTTATATACCGCTTTATAGTGCTTTACAGCCCTCTCAAAGCGGTTTAGAGAGTCAGCCTATTGTCCCCAACAATCTGGGTCCTCATTTTACTCACCTCGGAAGGAAAGAAGGCTGAGTCAACCTTGAGCCTGGTGGGATTTGATCTGCCAAATTGCAGTGGGAGGAGCTTGCAGTACTGCACTCTAACCACTGCGCCCCTGAAGCTCATATGTATTTAGGCTACCCATTTTGCCACCAAGGGTGTTTCCAATCTTTAAAACAGCAAGGCAATAACGTAATAATCCAACTAAGTAAATCTATTCCAAGGAAATTCTTGTGTCAAAGCACTCAAATGCCCTTTGTAGCAAGTAGTTTTGAAGGCCAGGAAGGTAGAAGTCTTTCTTCTCCCACAAGGAAGAATGTTCCAAAGAACAAATTATGGTTGCGCACTGTACATGAATGAGACGTGTGGCTTTGCTCAATAGATCAAGAATGAATCCAACCATTTTCATAGGAAACCGAAGCCTGCCAATGTATTTTATTTTATTAATGTATGTAGCAGTCCTCAACTTTCCATAATTTATTTAGTGACCAAAGTTACAATGGCACTGAAAAAAGTGACTTATGACCATTTTTCACACTTACAGTAATCCGTGCAGCATCTCCACAGTCACGTGATCAAAATACAGACGCTGGGCAACGGACTCATATTTACGACGATTGTAATGTCCCACGGTCGTGTGATCACCTTTTGTGACTTTCTCACGAGCAAATTCAGTGGGGAAGCCAGATTCACTACCATAAATTAACAACTGCAGTGATTCATTTAACAACTGTCTTGCTCAGCAACAGAAATTTTGGGCTCAGTTATGAGTCATAAGTCAAGGACTACTAAGTCTAATTCCCCAGATTTCCCTTGGTTGCAGGAATCCCTTCCGTGGGAATAGTGGAACTATAATTCATGATCACCCATCGCACAGCAGTGTGACAGTCCACTATCTCTGAGTCAGTAGATCTCTTGCTACTATGTCCTTCGTAATCCCTTTTCTGTTTCACTGCCTATATCATAAGTAGCATTTCTCAGTATGGATAGAACCCAATTGTGTCCTTCCGTTGAATAGGTGCACTGAGAGTTGAAATCCCAATTACATTTGGAGGTTTTGAGAGGTGATGTTTAAAATGATCATTCTTAGCAATTGTCTTAATGTTTGACAGGCGATGGAAACTTTTGCTTCCTTGAGACATGTAGATGCAAGAGGACCAGATGAAATGGAGGTGTTTTCTGGAGAAGGGTAACTTGCTTAGAATTTACTCTGTCTTAAAATTACGGATTTTTAAATGTCAGTTAAGGTCTATATGAGAGAATCCAATTCTACTTTGAAACCATAAGAGAGAACATAAGAGAGAGAGAAAGCTAACTTTAGATTCTGTCAGCCTGCGTATGTCCTACTTTGAAAATGCTGCTATTTTCCAGGAAACAGTGCGTTTTGACGTTATAATGAATGCCTTATTTTATGTATTCATATTGTGTTTCACGTCTGTTAATCGTAGACTGATCTCTTGGCTTTTTTATGCAAATCTCAAAGAAGGAATTATTTAAAATGTTAGCTTTGATTTTCATCCATTTTTTAAAAATGTAATTTTTATGATTATTAAAAAATGGTACATTACTTGTTGCTTCCTTTATGACATGGTCCTTAATACTTCTTTCTTCTTTTTTTGTAGCAAAAATGGCAGAAATGAGGATGATTTGTTAATGCACGATCAGGTTTGTGTCCATTTGTACCATTTGCAAAATACTAACATATTACTTTCACTATTATTAATGTTGTTACTTTGCTTTTGTTATTACTTTACAACATTTTAATAATAAAGTGAAAGTAATCAGAATGTGAATTCTCATTAGAGCTACCTTTGTTAGAAACATTTGGATATCATAGGCTTTGGTTTTCAGATGTTAGATTAAAGTACCTTTGATTATTAACGTGCTTATTTATTGAGTTGATAGATTTCCAAGCATAGATGATTCTGAACTTTAATTTTGATACTAATTAAAATCATTTAATGATATGCAGACATCTTTTGTATATGATTTTAAATGAATTTTAATTTATAAAAGTTAAATATTTGAATATTTTCAATGTTTTTAAAAAAATTGAATTTATTTTAATGCAGTACTTATAAGAAGCCTCCTTGGAAAATATTCTAAGTAGCATCTAAGAAGATAGATTTAAAACTGAACCAGTTTAGCTGATCATACTTGGAAATCAGAGAACAGGTTTTGGAAGGAATCTAAGACCTTGGCCAAATTTCCTTGATTCCCCTAGTCATATTTCTATCCCAGCTGTAAAAGTAAAACTACACAGTTAAAATCTTGCTGGAAATGGGGGGGGGGGGGGGCAAAGTTTAAGAGAAGGTTGCTCAGAATCCCTTGCTTGGTTCTTGGCAGAGAGAGATTAAATTAAAGAACTTCAGGATTCATAAAGAGATTAAATTGTTCTACAACTGTCATGCTAGGAAATTAGCTACCCAGGAAGACCATGTTTGCTCCCAGCATCATGAAAATAGCCTGTGTTTATTGCTTTGATCTGATGGAATAACTGTTCTCTCACGAGCGTGGTGGCTCACGAGGTTAGACCTCTGGGCTGACGATCGGTAGCCTCGCGTTCGGGACTCATTGCTGCTACAGGGCGGAGTAAGCTCCAGTTCCACACTCTAGCTTCCCCTGATCCAGCAGTTCGAAAGCAGGTGACCGCAAGTAGATTAATGCAGGGGTCCCCAACCACCGGTCCGCGGCCCAATAGTGGGCTGCAGCCCATTCAGAACTGGGCCACATGAGTGGTGGGCTAGCTCGCACACCTCCACAGCAGCAGGCACTCATGCTCATTCACAAAGGTCCATTTGAGGACGCTCATGCAAATGGAGCTGCGTATGCGCACTTACCACTCACACGGAATCACCCCCCTCTCCCCCCCCCCCCCCGGACCACCCAACTGGAAAGGTTAGGGACCGCTGGATTAATGGGTACTACTTCGGTGGGCAACTTCACAGAGGTGTGGAAAAATCTCCCACCTGGGCATCCCCCAGGCAACAGTGATGTCACCAGCAAATCCTTTGAGCACTTGGGTGCTTCCGACATGGAAGTATTTCTGTTAGTGCTGTTCACTTATTTTTGACCTTTTCAATACATTTTTTTCCTCTAATCTTGATGGATGTTTTTCTCTTCCCTCAATAGTTTAGCTTAGTAAATTGAAATTTATTCCTTCCCTTCACGAACAAGAGGTTAAGAGAGGGAAGACCCCTATGCGGAGTGACATTTCCCTGTCAACTCTGTTTTCCTTTTCCATCATGATCATTCCTTTCTTTATAGAAATAGCATATTGTTTTCTCAGAAGCAGATAACTAGAGATAGAGATGCTTCGAGGTGTTATTATCCTTTTTTTTTCAAAGAAGCTGGTCTGAAACAGATGAGACAGCAAATCGGAAGTAACAAATCGGCTGGCTGTGCAAATATAAAGACTCTGTATTTATCTTGCCAATTTGCATGGATGATTTTACTTCGCATAATTCATTTTACAGCCACAAACCTTGAGAGAGGGACAGGAATCTTGTTGGTTATTTAGCCTTATGGCTGTCGAAACCTTTTTAAACATTTTCTCTGAACTTAGGAGATTTTGTTTTTGCTTCTTAAAGCAGCAGCCCCCAACCTTTGGGGCACCAGGGACCTGTTCCGTGGAGAAATATTTTTCCATGGACTGGAGGGGATGTGGTTTTGTATGCTGCTTGCATCCCACGGATGGGGCTTCGGCTTGTTTGCGTGGTCCCCCCTTTCTTTAAAGCATATCATGAAAATATATATTTTAGCAAAGTTTTTTTAAAAAAAAAAAAAACTTGGAAAGCTGAAGTCTGTGGCTAACTTCACATTGTGTTACTGTTGGTTATATGGAATTATGGCGTGCTTATAATAGCTTGTAAAATAAGCATAACTGGGCAGTGTTAAATTGGAACCGATATTTTCATCCAATGAGATTGCAGGATGCTAGGGAGGGTCTATATAGCAAGTTGTACAACAGGAGAAAGACATTTGTGATCTGATGGTTCGTATTTTTCCCCTTCCAAAAATGTCCTCTCCACAGGGCAGCCATGAAAATGGGTCCCTGTTGAATAGCTACAATTGAAGGGTTATGTCAAGATACTGTATATTTAGCAAGAATACAGCTCTACCTAATGTTTTTGATTCCGTCGCCAAATCATTGTTAAATATAGTCTTGTCCACTTTGAGTTGAGTTTATCTGTGATAAATCCATGAACACATGTAGATATCTAGGCAACAGTAAATAGTTTCTTCTGGAATGCTTTTCTGACTTCCCAGTCTAGTCTGTATAGTCCTTGGGTTTCTTGGCAATTTCTCACTGAAGTACTATAAGTAGTACAGCCTTGCTGTTTGAAATCAGCCAAGGTTGACTGAGTGTTTACATAGGCATAAATAAATATGGTTTCTAGGGATTCTCTTGTCTTTCATGATTGCAGAATGCTGGAGACATTCAATAAATGCTTTTACTGGAAAGGTTTCTTGGATCATTGATTGCTATGTCTAATCTTTGTAAGTTTTCTTGCAAGTTTTCATTGCCAGGAAAGATAAACAACCTGGAATGTCCAAAGCATTCAAAAAAGATGCAGAGCCTCTCATGCTTAGCCAAAGACGTGGGTGCTTTAATGATTCCAACAGAGGTATTCTGGGATCCAAATGCACAAGCTCTTTCTGTTAGATATAGACTGATAACAGCTACCTACAGTATGTTGTGATATGGTTGCATGAATGTACTGTGCACTTGACTTTCAAATACATATGAAAGTCATAAAAAGAATAGTATAGTTCTAGAAGACAGACCAGAAATAAAAGTTAAAATAAGCAAAAAAAAAATAGTAAGAGAACACCTGCCTGATCTTGATGAAAACAAATCACCGAGGCCTGATGGATTACATCCCAGAGTTTTAAAGGAGCTGGCAGAGGTCATCTCAGAACCACTGCACCGTATCTTTCAAAAATCCTGGAGCACCGGGGAACTACCAGAGGACTGGAAAAGAGCTGATGTGGTTCCCATCTTCAAAAAAGGGGAAAAAAACAGACCCAGGAAACTATGGACCGATCAGCCTAACATCAATACCCGGGAAGCTACTGGAAGAGATAATAAAAAAACAGATCTACCAACATCTAGAAACAAGTAAAGTAATAACTAGCAGTCAGCACAGGTTTGTTAGAAACAGATCATGCCAAACCAATCTCATTTCATTCTTCAACACAGTGACTAAATTAGTAGACCAGCAAAGTACTGTGGACATAATATATTTAGATTTCAGCAAGGCATTCGATAAAGTAGACCACAACCTACTTCTTAGTAAGCTAGAAAAAAGTGGAATAGATAGCACCACCACTAGATGGACTCGCAACTGGCTGGCAAACCATACTCAATGAGTAGTCCTTAATGGGTCTAAGTCTACATGGAGGGAAGTAAGCAGTGGGGTGCCACAAGGTTCCGTCTTAGGCCCAGTACTCTTCAATATCTTCATTAACAGATGAGGGAATAGAAGGGGAACTTACCAAATTTGCAGATGATACAAAGCTGGCAGGAATAGCTAACACCCAAGAAGATAGGCTCAAGATCCATCTGGATCTTGACAGACTAGAACACTGGGCCATATCTAATAAAATGAAATTCAATGTAGAGAAAAGTAAAGTCCTACACTTAGGCAAGAAAAACCAAAAGTACACATATAGACTGGGTGAAACCAGGCTCAATAGCAGTAACTGTGAGAGGGATCTTGGAGTCTTAGTGGACAACCAGCTAAATATGAGCCAGCAGTGTGTAGCAGCAGCCAAAAAACCTAATGCAATCCTAAGTTGTATTAACAAAGGGATACAGTCAAGATCAAGGGAAGTACTAATACCACTCTATAAAGCCTTAATAAGACCACACCTAGAGTACTGCATCCAGTTTTGGTCACCATATTATAAAAAAGATGTTGAGACTCTAGAAAAAGTACAGAGAAGAACAAGCAGGATGATTAGGGGACTGGAGGCTAAAACATGAAGAACGGTTACAGGAACTGGGCATGGCTAGTCTAGTGAAGAGAAGGACCAGGGAAGACATGATAGCAGTCTTCCAATATTTGAGGGGCTGCCACAGGGAGGAAGGGGTCAAGCTATTTTCTAAAGCACCTGTAGGCTGAAACTGAACAAGGAGAGATTTAACCTGGAAATAAGGAGAAACTTTCTGACAGAGAACAATCAACCAATGGAACAGCTTGCCCTCAATCAGTTGAGACTTTCAAGAAGAGATTGGACTGCCATTTGTCAGAAATGGTGTAGGGTCTTCCACTTGGGCAGGGGGTTGGACTGGATGACCTACAAGGTCCCTTCCAACTCTGATTATCTGTTATCTGTTAGACATTTGCCAGTGAGTAGGGAATTGGGGTGTATGACTAGTAAGATCTAGAAGGAAAACAGTGACAGGTTTGGAGATTCATTGATGTTTTCTTCTAAAAGGAATTATGATTTGAAAGAGGCAGTGAGGTGATTTCTTAGAAAACATAAAGATATAGATAGTTACAGGCAATTGTAAATATTGCTTTTTGGGCAAGTTAATGGAAAGAATAGTGGCTGACTAGTTATAGGTGTACCTGGAGAAAATTAATTATAAGATTACCTTTATTGTCACTTTTTTTCTGTGACCACATGGACACACTTTCAGATTTCACTTGTCATCC